AAACCTCAGCCTTCTCGAAATCCAGGGTAGCCAGTTCTTCTGATAGCTTCTGGAGAGGGCCTACATTATCCCTAGTCTGTGTTTTGTTTGCTCCATACCTATAGAAGCCCTTCGCGTTATCTTTCACATCCCTTGCCAGATTTAATTCTAACTGGGCCTTAGCTTTCCTAACCTGGTCCCTAGCTTCCCGGACGATGTCCCTGTATTCTGCACAGGCTGCCTGTCCTTGCTTCCACCTTTTATAAGCTTCTTTTTTCCTTCTAAGTTTTCTCAGCTGTTTCTTATCCACCCATGGAGGTCTCCTGGCCTTCCTGCCACATTTCCTTCTAGTCCTTACACAACACTCCTGAGTTTGTAGGTCAGGATACAAGCATCCCTTTCCTCAAGCCGGTTGATCGTTGAATATAGACCAGCAGTCTTGGGCCCTCCTGCCCTTCAGGGCTTTATCCTGTGGAACCTTACTAAGCAGGTTCCAGAAGAGGCCAAAGTCTGCTTTCGTGAAGCCCAGGGCAGTGAGCTTGCTGTATACCCTTCTTACTGTCCTGAGGATCTCAAACTCAACCATCTCGTGATTGCTACAGCCAAGGCTGCCCTGGAGTATCCCTTTCCCAACCAGCCGCTCCTTGGTGAGTACAAGATAAAGCATGGCACCTCTCCTTGTTGGCTCCTCTATTACTTGCAAGAGGACGTTGCAGACGCAGAGGATCACCGTGCCGGACAGGCAAGGGCTCTGGTGCCATGCAGACCCCCAGGATCACCGTGAGGGCTGGGCAGGGCTCCGGGAGGTTTCAAGGCATCCTGTTGTAAGGGATTCTGGGTGCCCTATGGATCTCACAAGAGCCAAGCCCTATCCTAGGCTTACTGGGGTCTCCAATTCCCTTCTCCTTCCCCAGGTCTCTGCAGAGAGAGACACTGGGGACAAGGCCCCTCTCATGTGCCAGCAGACACCATGGGCGACTGTTTCATTTTGGGATCTGTTTTTCAGGACCGGAAGTGGTGGTGACATCCTTATCGTGTCCCCCTCCAGCGGCATGAGGAGGTGGTCGTCCCTGGAGGACCCCACCTGAGCCCTGGGGAGCCCTGGGCCATTTCCCTCTCATGATCAATAAACCCGTTCAGCAAAGCTGCGCTCTGTGTGCCTGTGTCTGTGCCCCCTCTCCTCTGCCAGCGGCCGCATGCCTGGATCCTCTCTGGCTGCATCACCACAGTGAGCAGAGTGGCTGAGGGAGTGTGGGCTCCTGTGGTGTCTGTGTAAAGGAGATTCCCTTCCCACACACCGTGTGCCCCAGGTAAGGGCAGATGAGGGCAAACTGGAGCGTCCCTCTGTCCTGGTTTAAATCCAGCTGGTAACTAAGCACCAGGCAGCCGCTCGCCCATCCCCTGGTGGGACGGTGACGGGAATCGGAAGAATAGAAAACCTGTACGTGGAGATAAGAACAGTTTAATAATTGAAAGCAAGTAAAATACAGTGATAATATAAATAATACCAACAATAACAGAAATTGTAATAATTTAGGGGAGAATTCTCTGGGTGAAACCTGATGCATTTCTCACAGAGCACCCTGAAACTGCCTCTTCTCTGGTTTCAGGAAGACTTTTGGCAGGTCCCTTCCCTGAGCTCTGGTACTTTATGCTGAAATTGGGCTAGGATAAAGCCAATAGCCTTCCTTTGGGCACTTCAGAGTGCACACAGCTTGCAGGGTTAACTCCTGTAAGTGACAATTGCTGTTTTGGTTTGAGGTGCTTTGCAGTCTTTCAGAAAATACCCCCACACAACACTTTCTCCAGCAAAAGAGATAACTTTTTTTTTAATTCTAAAGGAGAAATCCAGATGTTCCAAATGGAAGGTACATGTCTTCTAGATATGATGCTGTGTGTAGCTTGTGGCACAGGTTCACAGACTGGACTTTTGAGCGTGAAGAAAACAGAAGCTACATCTTACTGATGCCCCCAAACTGACAAAACATGCTTTGCTGGAATTCCTCTGCTCAGCCAACGGCTCATAGAGAGCATGTATCTTCTCCAGTGGGAGGTCTTGTACCATGCTGTTAAAGGATGCTGCTATACACTTATTTAGGCTACCCAGAGGGATTAATTTATCAGTTTTTTCTTCTTCTTGTTGCTGTAGACCCTGTCTTTTGGTTATTTCTGAGCACTGTAGTAGAACCAGAGAGCTGGAGGATCTCCAGTTAGGTTTGTGTTTTCACCACCAGTCCCTAGGGTGAATAATTCAGCAGGGCTGTTGCTAAAGAGCAGCAGCTTCCATAACAAAAAGTAGAGGAAAACCAAAACCTCGTTCCAAAACATACTGCATGCAGCAGGCCTTGTCCTCAGCAGACTTCTCTTTAAAATCCAGAGAGGAGGTATGTCTTGCAGTTACCCTGGAAGTGGGTAATTTGGGAATTTCTGACATAAATAAAACTACAGTGAGCAGTTCTAGAAATGGCTTGATTTTTTTTACATGCTGGCAAGTCATTCGTATTCCTGCAAAGGTCAATATGCCTTCCCACAGAGCAACAGTGAGCCGTGTTTTAATATAAAGTAGCCTCTTCTTTTTCTAAAAGATGAATGAAGGAGACATTTGAACACTGACACTTTATACAGTCTCTTGTATTCAGTTTTGGAATACCTGCTCTCTCTTTTGGCCTCCGACATTCCCTCTGCATGGCTCCTCTACTACTTCCAATATGAGTCTAATAAAAAACACTCCCAAAGAGCTGGTCTCTTGCCTTCAGCTGCAGTGCGAGGGGGTGTGCATGGCTGAGGATGACTGTCTGTCTTCATTCCATGTCTGTGCCGCAGCCAAAACCCAGCAAGGTGAGGACGAAGGGAGAGGAGCAGCGTGAGCAAGGCAGAGAGCTCTGAGAGCATCATGTCACTTGAGTGGAGCTAAACACTGCCCTGTGAATGCAGCACAGCCCTGGGTGGGGGAGTGTCGTGGTTTAAACCCAGTCAGACAGCTTGTTCACTCACTTGCCCCCCCTTCTTGCTCTCCCCCTACTCCCGGAGGGACAGAGAGGAGAATCGAAAAGAATGCAACTCCCACGGCTTGAGATAAGAACAGTTTAGTAACTAAGGTATAACACAGATCACTGCTGCTACCACCAATAACAACGATAAAGGAAATAACAAGGGAAGAGAATACATCACCTCACCACCAGCCGACCGATAACTCACCCCGCAGGCCCGACCAAGCACTGGCCCATACCTCCTCCCACCCTGCAGTCCCAGCCCTTCCGGCTAACTCCCAGTTACATCCTGGGCATGACGTGCTGTGGTATGGAATACCTCTTTGGTCAGTTTGGGTCAGGTGTCCTGTCTCTGCATCCTCCTGGCTTCCCCTCCTCCCTGGCAGAGCATGAGGCTCACAAAGTCCTTGGCCAAACCAAAACATCGCTATCAGCTCTGTTCCCAGGCCGAAAGTCAAAACACAGCACTGCACCAGCTACCAAGAAGGAGAAAAATGACTGCTACTGCTGAACCCAGGACAGGGAGTAAGGGGGAAAAGCCTGGCAGATGTGCCCCATGGAGGGGAGCCACTGAACATGGGCAACTGAACCTTGCCTGCTTCTTCCATGCTGAGCTGTAACCGATCTCCTCATACATGGCCTCAGGGAAGGGCTCCCAAGCTCTCCCAGAGCTTCTGGACAGTGGCAGAACTGTCCCAGAACAGGCAGAGTGGGGACAGGAACCCACTCTGCTCCACCAGCTTTGGTCCTTTGGGCATTGCCTTAGCAGAGGGAAGTGACAAAGTCCCACAGTGTGCAGCCGAGAACTGGGGAACCCTCTGGCCCAGTCAGCTGCTGCCATTGTGGACACAAAAGCTGTGCTGCCCAGGAGGGTCCCGTCATGCAGGGGCTGGCAGATGGACACATAGTGGTTGTAGGGCGTGATGGTGAGAAGATAAAACTCGTGTGTGTTTGAGGAGAGAAAGAAAAAGACCTGGGCAGCACATCCCAGGAAGAAGGTGGCCCTGGTGTTCCAGAGGGACTTGGCGATGGCTTTAGTGACAGCGGTGGACATGGAGCACAGGTCCAGCAGGGGGAGGTCGAGGAGGAAGAAGTCCATGGGGTGTGAAGGCACTGGTTGCAGGCTGTGGTGGTGATGAGGAGTTCGTTGCCCAGGAGTACAGTCAGGTAGATGCCGAGGAAGAGTCAGACATCCAAGAGCTGCAGCTCCCATGTGCCTGCAAATGGCAGGAGGAGGAAGTGGGTGACGGAGCTGCCACTGGACATTTGCTTGAGCCTGTTATGGGGGGCTTTCCAAAAGGGAAAGGACAGTGACAATTTAGGGGAGAATTCTCTGGGGGAAACCTGATGCATTTCTCACAGAGCACCCTGAAACTGCCTCTTCTCTGGTTTCAGGAAGACTTTTGGCAGGTCCCTTCCATGAGCTCTGGTTGGTGCAGGCTGAGGGTGTCCCTGGAAGGAGGGGGCTCTGCTGGGGCTCTGGCAGAGCCAGTCCTGCCCTCCAGCAGTAAGGAAAGAGGAACACGGCAGGAGCGCATATGGGGCTGTTGTGTCAAATGAAATTCACACGAGATATCAAAGAGCTTTTCAGAAGATCTCACCTGTCCATCAGCTTTGGTCTCAGCTGCCCTGCGCTGGCTCTTTCAGCAGGGAGATGACTTCACCCAGGCTGCTCCAACTCGCAGCCCCTGGGGTGCAGGGACCCTACTTGGAATGACAACCCGCGGTACCCCTGGCTGCACAGCTGGCTGCACACCCCTGAAACCACCCCCGGGAGAAGGCAGGCATCACACACACCCCTTTGATGGTGCACTGGGGAATCCAATGCTTCTCCAGCCCCGCTACTGGGAAATTAAAAGAGGAAGCTCACAAGCCCCTGGCAGCCCCAAGGAGCTGTCCCAAGGATTGTGGGTGACCCACATCCGCTGCCTGCAGGCTGCCCTGTAGCCCTGTGAGCGGCTGCTGCTACCCATCCCCAAATGGACCTTCCTGCACACCTTACTTTAGAGACAGATCCTCTACACCACTCTGATCTGACAAACCATTTATTCCTCCTCCCCCATTTCTCTTTTTTACTTGTGTTCTTTTTCTTGTCTGGTTTCAGCTGAGGTTTTCTTGTTCTTCCATCTTTCCATGAACCTGCACTCGATAAATGCAGGTGTAGGCCGTGTTTCCCCAGTTGCTCTTCACAATAAGTTTGATGTGCGCAAAGGCTCTGTGTGTGTTCTGTGAAGAGAGTGACAAGAAAACTGAGGTGTTAAGTGTGACGGTGCAATTGACGTTTCTCCCCCTGCCTGCCCTGCTCCTGCTCAGGAACAAGCTTCCAAAAGTGGGTAGGAGTGGCTGTAGGCATCTGAGGCTCACTGCTGGTACCAGGGCTCCTGCAGAGACTGGAGGCACGGGAAGGGAGAAGACACCCTCTGGAACCTGGCCTGCTGGGGACTGCGCCTCCCTTCCCTTTGCCCCCTTCCCTCTGCAGCTTGCTGTGTGCTGACAGAGAGGCTGGGGAGGTCCTCCTATGCGTGAGACAGTTGGTGTGAAAGTCCATTAAGCTCCCGCCATGCTGCCTGCCTTCCTCCTGGCAGGTGTGAGGGCACCAGGAGAAAAGGGACGTGTTGTGCTGGGAGGAAAGGACACTGTCCAGCCTGTCAGCAGGCCAAAGGGTGGAGCGACAATGCTGTCCGGCAGCTTTCCCCACCAGGTATCCCTATTTCTCCTGGCACAAAGATGTTGCTTTGGTGGAGAGGCCATGTGTGCAGCTGGCTCTGCTGAAGGCAGCAGCTGCAGCCAGGGGTCTCTCAGGACTTAAGCTCCCACAGGAACAACCCTGCCCTTGCAAACCTGTTGCTGCTACCCCCACGGCATGCTACTCAGTCCTCCCAGCTCCACCAGGCCTCCTCGGCAGTGGTCTGGGCCCCTGCGCCAGGGGAGAGAGCATTCACGCTCTTCCTGCCACGGACTTGCAGGCACTGCTGGTTTTCTCTGGGCATCTTGCCTTCATGCACAGACTGTACCTTCAGAGGGAAGGTTTGAATAGCCTCTTTTGCCACGTTGTACACGAACATCCCAAGGAGAGTTTCCTCTTCTCTGTCTGCATTCAATCCCTCAAGGGAAAAGCACAAGGAGGAAGGAGAGAAGCTCAGACTTGTCCCGGCAAAGAGGATGTTTGTATGTGCTGGATCAGCATATACTGCATGGGCTGTTACCTACTGAGCCTCTCCTGGGGCTCTAGCAGTAGTTAAGCACTGTCTCCACCTTGTGTTTTATTCAAGAGCCCTGAGGTGCTCTCACCAGAATGAGTCTTGAGAGGGATGGAACCCCTAGAGCCCCTGAAGTATCCTGCAAGTGCACTGCAGGGCTTAGGAGAAAGCAGGACACAAATCTCCAAGGACTTGCTTGCACAAAGCTTACACAAAGCAAGCAAGTTCCAGTCACGGCTTTGCCCCAGGGCCACGTGCCAGCCAGAAGCACCCAGCAGAGACTTACAAAGACAGCGATGTCTCGGGGGGCACTGGTGACGGTCCCAGATGGAGAGACCTCTTTGTAGGTGTGCTGCACACTGACAGCAGTCAGATGGACTCGTGCTGGCAACCTGATGACCACCTGGCCCTGGTGCCCTTGTAATGGCCAGCAGTTTCCTGGGGAAATATCCGGCTGCAATCAGAATGTGAGAGTTAATGAAACGTGAGCCCATGTTCAGTTCAACACAGCTGCTCATGTAGCCTGAAGCACAGGTGCTGGTGTGTCTGGGGGGTCTAGTCCATCTTGAAAATGAGGCTTGAAAATGAGACACAAGCAGCAGCCTCTCAGTATTATGAAAAGAGGAGAATACCTGTTACTAAGCCAACCTAGTCAGGCCCTTACAGACACAGCTCTCTGCCCAGTGGCTCTGCAGAGGACCCCCTGCCTCCCACCCCAGAAAGGAACTGCTAGGGCTGAGTATGGAAATGAGGTCACCAGGGAGAAAGTCGTTCACCCGGCTGTGACTGAGGACTGTGGGCAAGATGCTGCAGTTGAGCTCTGTTCCCCTCCTGAGGGGAGCCACTGCTTTCTATCGAGGCCAGCCCTGAGTCCAAGCTTTGGCTTCAGGCAACAGATCAGCACTGTGGGCTTGAGCATTACCACTGGACTGAGAGGACAATGCCCAAGGTCAGTCCCCAGCTTCTCAGGAAGGAAACATGCACTGGTGGTTTCTGCTACAATACCTCCAAAATCGTATCAGGAGGGTTGGGAGTGTGGAAGAACCATAAAACCCTGCAGCCCCAATTCTCTTTGCAGTCATAGGTCTTTGAAGTTCTCTGCATGTCAATGGTGGCACCTGTAAGGAAGGGAGAGCAGGTGACTGCACGAGGCCACCGAGTAGGAGGACCCTGTGCTCAGACGCCCTTTCTGATGCTGCTGGACAGCTCCACGTCTGTCAGTCCTCTCCTCATCTCCATGCTGGTAGGGGTGCCTAGCTGCGCAGGATGACAGCACCCATATGCCTGGTGTCTGCTCCTCTCAGCGCCACAAGTAGAAGGCCTGAGGGTGCTGGTGAATGAGGGCAGACCAAAGCTGAGGGCTTGCTGTGTGGGCAATAAAGGATAGGATGACCCATCCGTTCTCTTTCCAAATGCATTGATGAGGAAGAGAGCCCCTCCGTCAGCCCTGGAATGTGGGGGGGGCAGTGCCAGAGGCACCTGCGCAGAAGCGGGACCAGGAGGGAATCCAAGAGAGCCACTGCCACAGACATGCTCTCGGACCTCATGAAGCTCCCCTGCTTTCAGCTCCCCTGCTTAGGAGAGCAGCACCTGGAGGACATCCTCCTTTGGGGAGTGCTACAGACAAGTGCATGGCAAGGAGAATGGGCTGCTGTGTCCATACCAGAACTTTTCAGGGCCCAGTCAGATCTTCTGATGTAGACTTCCGAAGCCAACTCCAGGGCTGCCTGGTTCACCTCCTGCCTCTCCTGGGAAACACACAAACAAGCACAGAAAATGAGCACGTCAGCAGTCAGTTCAGCATGGCTACCAGCACCCAGAAAGGCAGAGGGTCAGTGTCAGAAACACAAGGCAAGCCTTGTCCAGTAAGCTGAGAGACTGCAGCTGACGTGAGCCACAAGCACAGTATATGTGGCCACGACCATGGGGTCCTCACTCCCTTGTTCCCACCTTCCATGCTCAGGCCATGTCCACAAAGGCTGGCCATGGGAGTGGGCCTGGGTCTCCCTGCTGCTCAGGGCCCAGCCAGAGCAGCCAAAGGTGCCCGTGCCAAGGGAAGAATGCTGGAAGATTCCTACTGCCTGAAGCACCAGTTAACCTGGGCCCAGAATAGGGCCTGGGCAGTGCCAAAGCTCACCCAGCAATCCCCTGGCACAAGCTGGCTTGCTGCGCTCAGCAGGCTGAGCCCACTACTAATCCCAGGTAGTGCTTCCTCAGGGCTTCTGCCCAGCCAAGCCTTCTTCTCCAAAATGCAGGGTTACCTTCTTCAAACGGCTTATCTCCACCTTCAGCTGAGCCACCTCCTCCAGCAGAAGCTGCAACTTTTGGGTCTGCTCTGTCAACAAGGTGTGCAAATTCCTGCAGGAACAGGAAAGCAGATGTTGTCAGAGAGCAGCCCATTCCCTCTGCAAGGAGCAGAGACACAGGGCTTTCTGGTTTGTGAATGCTTCCCTTGCTCCCCACGCTGAAAGAAAGGCAATGGCCAGAGGGAAGTACAGGAGCCGTGGCTGTTAGAAAAATGGGTGCAGGTAGCACGAGGTTGTCCTGGGTTCAGCCGTAGCAGGAATTTTTCTCCTTCTCAGTAGCTGGTGCAGCACTGTGGTTTTGATTTTCAGCCTGGGAACAGCGCTGATAACACCGCTGGTTTTAGTTGGTGCTCAGTAATGTTTACTCTGACCAAGGACATTCTGAGTCTCATGCTTTGCCAGGGAGGAGGGGAAGCCGGGAGGAAGCAGAGAGAGGACGCTGCACCCAAACTAGCCAAAGAGGTATTCCATACCACAGCACGTCATGCCCAGTATATAAACGGGGCAGTTACCCGGAAGGGCTAGATCACGGCTCTGGTCGGGCGGGGAACCATTAGCCGGTGGGGAGCGGTTGTATTCTCTTCCCTTGTTATTCCCTTTATCATTATTATTACTGGTGGTAGCAGCAGTGGTTTGTGCTACACCTTAGTTACTGGAGCGTTCTTGTCTCAACCCGCGGGAGTTACATTCTCTTGATTCTCCTCCCCATCCCTCGGGGAGCAGGGGGACAGAGAAGAGGGGGAGTGAGCGAGCGGCTGTGTGGTTCTGAGTTACGGGCTGGGCTTAAACCATGACAGGTTGGCTGATGCTGTTTGCATAGGTCCAATTCCAGCTCAGGAAACATCTCTTACCTCAGCATCTTTGTTTCTGCTGCGGCTGCCCGTGTCAGAGCCTGAAAGGGAAAAACTCTCTGTTAGAGTATCCACCACCAGAGCTGCTGGGGCTTCCCAGGAGAGGCTTCCCTAGGAAGCCCCGGCAAAAGCCACTGCTTCTTTGGCTCACTCTGTGTGGACACAGAAAAGCCCACGATTTAGCCAGCCACTGTCAGCAATGCTCCCTTGCAGGAGCTGCCTGTCCCAGAGGGTCCACCAACCTCTCTCTGTGCCTTTGCCTGCATTGTCCACGCTGGCAGTGAGGTCCCACAGTAAACACCAGCTGCAATTCACATCACCAAGAGACAGTCACTTGACCTGGGTTGCTAGTGGTCCCTGAAGCACCGTGGTCTCCTCCTGGTTGCCTTGTGGATGGGGCAGCAGCTAAGCTGAGGAGGTGGGGAACACAGGGTGCAGAGACAGGACGTGCCTCTGACTGGAAACCATCACCACAGGCTTCAGGGCATTGTGTAGCCATGAGCTTCAGGTGTGCTCGGTGACCCAGAGCTCTTTCCCATTTCCCCTTACTGCTCCTGTGAGCCCTGAGAGCAGGCTACATCAGCCAGGAGAGGTATCAGGAGGGGCATCAGTCACCCTGCACAGCCCCTCTGGGTATCCCCCAGTTCAGGCTTGGAAATACATGCTCCCTTCTCTCGCAGGCTTGCAGACTAAGCAAGCCCTTTGGTCCTGTGGCCAGTGCAGCAGCATGGCTGGGAGGCTACCAGTCTTACTGCTAGCTGAAAAGCAAGTCCTTGTCAAGGATGCACACCAGAAGCACTTGGACCATGCGAGTTTCCACACATATGGGCCAAAAAGAAAAGCTGGCACCCAGCACAACCAGGCTGTTACTCTCAAATGGTTGCTCACACAGACTCACCAAGAACCACTGGAAGCAAGAAGACAATGAATCTCAAGAACCTCTTCTTGTGCACGGCCATCTTTTGCCTGAAAAAGGAGGGTGTCCTATGTCTGTCAATGAGCCAGGTTTCGAGCAAACCAGCTGGATTACCACTTCCAGGCACGAAAGCCACTGTTTTGGAAGCCTGCTGCTGACAGACAGCTGCCAGGGAAGAGCCCAGGAGGGGCACTTTCTGTCCACACCTTTCAAAACTGCCAGCAGCTCTTCCCCCAAAGAAGAACTCCAGGACTCACTACTCCCCGAAAGTAAAGAGGTTGAGCAAATCAGGACTTCCGCCTCCGCACCCCTGCGTCTGGCTACACAGCAGGTTGTCCTACCATGACCAAAGTCTGGGCCTCTGGTGAATGTGTGGCAGGGAGACTGCCCAGTGGCTTTACTCTTGGCTCTCCCTGAGAACGGCCACAACATGAGCAGTGCTTGTGAGAGTGGGGAGCTGGCTGAGGAACACCCCTTGCTCTCCCCTTTGCTTGCACTGGCCCTCAGACATCTCCTTTCTCCCCGTGTCCAACACAGAAACACGGAGTACATACATACTCCTTTCCCCATCTCTGCTTGACAGCAAAGATGCAGCCTGCAGCGGAGGAACAGGAAGAAGCTGGCGGCGGCAGCAGCAGTCCCCATTGCTCGAAGCACAGCCGGCAGCACAGCCCAATTCTCACCCGCTCCCTCCCTGCACCCTGACCCCTGCAGCATGAGGCTACCGCCTCCCCAAAAGCCCAACAGCAGAAACAGGTAGTACGTACACAGTGAAGATGCACACGATCAGCAGGTATCTCCACAGGGATGCAAGGGTACCTGCCGCATGGCAAACAAGGCTGAAGACCGTCCCTGGGCAAAGAAACCAGGGAAAAGTTAGGCCTCTGTCTTGAGGTCTCTTCTCCAGGATGCTCAGCCAAGAGCGTTTTGGCTCCCTGCAGGGAGGCAAGCACCGAGGCCTAGGCACCACCTCTCTGGGGTGAAGAGCAGAGCAGCCTGCATTTCTCCAGCCACTTGTGAAATTTTGCCAGACTTCTGGCACAGTGCAGCGCTCGGAGTTCACCCCAAGGACTTTGCAGCAAGAGCCAGTGCTGAGCTTACTTGCAAGTGCAGTGGCCTTGTCATGACGCTTGGGTGGCCCTGGAGAGGATGAGCTGGGAGTGGACTGAGGAAGGCGTTTCACCAGCTCCACCTCTGTGAAAAGGCTCCTGTGGGAGGAAAACAAAAAAGATGCCGATTGCTCGCAGTGCTTGCTGGGAGAGCAAGCCATGCTTTCAGCCACGGCCCACCAGAAGGGGGGTGGGCAATGCACAGGGCTCTTGCGCAGAAGCGTCTGTCAGCTTCCCCATGCTGATCCGTGACCTGCTGGCTGTATTAGGCCGTGTCCCAGCTACCGTCCTAAGCTGATGCCCCATGCACGAGCAGCCAACTTCGTACCTACTCGCCTGGCTGTGGCTCCGCCCTGCAGCCTCTCGTGCTGACCGTTGGTCAGCTGTGGTCTCCAAGGAGACATTTAAGGTCCCTTGGATAATTTTATGCGGTGCCTTTCTGCTTGCCATCTCTGGGCAAAGGCAGCCTCCCTGCTCAGCTCTTCCTCCTAAGCCTCAGCAGTCTGGGCTCCTCAGGAAAACCAGTTCCAGCAGCAGCTCCACGCTGCCCTTCCACGGGAGTTTCCCTGCCCGGGGCAACAGTCACGTGCAGCTGTGGGCTCTTTCCCTGCCCCACAACGCTGTATGGGTGCCCAGTTCTGAGTCAAGATTGGCGGCTCTGATGTCACAGTGGGGCTCAGCAGGGCTCCCTCTGGGCTCCCCTGGGGCAACGTGGGGACTGGACCAGACTGGGGCCTGCAGTGTATGGGAAATGGGGTGGGCTGGAGCTGGGCATCGTGACCACCCCAGCACTTCCTGGCCCTAGGCAAATAAAGCTTATCAGTTACACACAGACCAGAGGGATGACAAGAACAAACATCTCTCCTGTTGCCATGGGAACTCTGTTGTCCCTGCAATTAGCTCCAACTGGCTGCCTGAGGACAAGCATCTGCTTCACGGTGTCCCTCCGGGTGGCCACATCCTGCTGAGGGACAGAGCTGGCCTGGCCAAGGATGAGGGCATTGAAGGGACATCCCTTGGGGACAAGGGCCTTGGGTGACCAGTGTCCGAGTGCCATCCAGGGAGCCAGAGCCTTGCTGGGGACAGAGTCATTGGGACCCACCATCTGGAGGCAGCTCTGCAGAGTGGGACTCCAGTGACCTGGGTGGGTATGGTGGCCCCAGGCAGTGGCAGGCTGGTGGTCAGGGCAGGGGATATTCTGCTCCGTTCTCTGCACTGGGGAGGCCATGGCTGTGGACTGCCCAAGACTGGGGACTACAGTGCATGGGAAATGGGGTGGGCTAGAGCTGGGCCTTCTGACCACCCCAGCACTCCTTCAAGCCGAACCCTCATCTCCCTGTGCCCAGCATTCACCAGTGCTCCCCATCGCCTCCTGTGACTGAAGATCCCAGTCACCCGGCAGTATCCCCACCTGCCAGTGCACCGCAGCTGTCCTCCCACCTCCCAGTGTTCCCTAATCCCGGGATCCTTCATGCCCCAGGAAGAGGGGTCATTCCCAGCCCCCTGGTTACCCAAGGGATGGAGAGGGGGCAGGGAGAGTCCTGCTCAGAGACCCCTGGTCTGAGGCTAGCAACATTCCTGGGGGAGTCCTGGGGGAAAACACAGTCCTGGGAGGCAGGCGGGGCTGGGAGATGGTAGTGCTGGGAGGTGAGGGGCACTGGGAGATAGGGGGATCTGGCTTTGGGGGCTGTTGGAAGGTGCTTTTGTGTTGGAGCAGTGGGCAGACACCATAGGACGCCTGGCTGTCAGGGGTCCTTTGTTCCCCTTCACCAGCCCCAGACGCCTGGGCACTTGCATGTTCAGCTGCCCCGTGCAGGAAGCTGGACTGATGCCAGCAAAGGTGGCTGAAGCCATGCTGGAGGCAGGGGTGACTCTGTGCCTAGGCCGGGCTTGCTGCCAGGGCTGGTGTCTCTGCCAAGTCTGGCTTTGCCCTGGGGGCTCTCGGGGAGGGCAAGGAGGAGTCCTGGGAGGGATAAATCTGCCCCTCACCTTCTCCAGCCTCATCCAGGACTCACCACACCGCAGAGAAACATGAAGGTCGCAGTGCTCAGCATGGCCCTGCTCTTCACCATCCTGCTGTGCACCCCAGCAGATGCTCAGGTGAGTCCCCAGTGCCTCGTGGAGGGGCTCAAGGCTGGGAACAGGTCTTGGCTGCAAGATATCAGCTCCCCTGCAAGATGAAATCATAGTGGTGAGCATGAAACCCCTTGAGTTGGCTTCTCCCTTTCCCAAGCAAGAGGAAAGGGAGAAGCCCCAGGTGATGCAGCTTTCTGCCTTCCACAGTTCTGTTTCTTCCCAAGCTTCCACGCAGTATAGCTCCTGATACCCAGAGCCCAGCTTCTTCCCTGAATGGTCGGACCTATCTCCGCCCTAGGAGGGCCTGACCCATTCCTTCTCTCGGTGCCCCCACACCCCTCCCTTTTGGGCCCCTTCGTGCTTTTGGTCCCCTCAGGCATCTCCTCCCTGGGATCTCCTCTCTATCCTACCTAGGGTCCCCAGATGCCCTCCCTTTGATCGTTCCCAATGCCTTTGGGACGTCGCCCCCCTCAGTCCTTTGCCTTTCATCCTGTCCACTGTGGTAATGTCCCCAAAAACGCTTCCTTGAACCCCAGCTCCCAAACACTCTCCCAGTCCCCTCACTTTGGTCCTCTGCAGTCGTCCTTCTGCCTCTACCAACCACCACGCTTGAAGTCCCCGTATCTTCTGCACTTGAATTCCTCTACCCGACATTAACATCCCATACAGTCCTGTCCCTTCTGCGCCATCAGCCTGGTTAATTCACGCCAGTGCCCTGTCTTTGCGTCCCAGTCATCCCATCCCCTCTGGAGATCCCTAATTCCCCAGGCTGTCCTTCCCTCTGTCCTCACCCCTGGTCACTGCATGAACCGGTACCCCAGGTGCAACTTGGAGCAATGGGGTGGGGGGAGCAGAAGGGATCTTCCTGCTCAGACCAGAGGGAAGCCATGGGCCTGGGGAGGCTGGGGACCCCTGTACCCCACACAAAGCCCCACCAAGGTCCAATCCGGACAAGCTCTTTGCTCTCTTTCCCAGGCAGTCTTAGAAGAAAGTGGAGATGATAGCTTGAATGTAAGTACTGGGGTGGACTCAGAGGGCAACCAGTCTGGGGAACTGGATGGCAGTTTGCGCCTCCCATCCCTTGCTGGTCCCTTGCTGGTACTGGGACATGCCAGTGACCAGTGAGCTTTTGTGGTCTCTCTACAGGGGGAACTCAAAATAGAGGAAAGGAAGAAGCCTGAGGTAGGTACCATGAGTTCTGCTGTCCCCAGATGCTCCCCTCACGGCCACAACACTCCAGGACATCCCAGTGTGCCCCTGCGCAGCCCAGTGCATCCCACTACAACCCTCGAGAGCAGCCCCACACCCCAGTGTTTTTCCAGGGAGGCCCCCTTCCCCTGGGTCCCCCTTGCACTCCCATCCATCCCATTACAACCCAGAGCACCCCAGGATGCCCCAATACACGGCCATGCACCCAGGT